ACAATACATAGGAACCAGATGATTTTTCAAAGATTTACAAATGCAACCGTTAAACTGATTATCATGCCAATAGGGACAGTTCAAAGAATATAGTAATAGTAGTGTTATCGTGTCTGCTAATTGACAGGAAAACTATTTTCTCATCAAATTGCAAGCTAATCATTTTCTATAATCACAGGTACTGACTGCTTAATATAAAAATAATTACTGTTAAAGTGTATTAAGTCAACACAGAGAGTGTGTTTTTGAACCGTATATTGAACAATATCAACATAATTAAACAAACACAAGCTGTATTGTCACTAGAACCAATTTATTTGGCCGTTTTATTTTGTTCAGAAGCTTATTTATAAGCCTCTAATTTATAAACCGCTGCATACGACTAGCAAACACATCGCAATAGAAAAAAAAATTGCAGTAACATATAACCCTCAAGCCTTCCTTATAAGCACGCATTATGGCTTTCCACACTCAATCACCTAGTTTTTAAAATAAATTACTTTGTTGCTACACTTACAAGAAGAAAAGAAAATGGTTTTTTTTTTGGTTATGTGATCAGAGAAGTGTCACTCTAATAAACCTTGATAAAATTACTATTACAGTACATCATTATTGATTGTTACACCAACTTTTCACACCAACTTCAAGATGTTGTCAACATAAAAAAAATGGTACGTCTTGTTGGTTTGTTTGTCTTTTGTGGCCTGCAACAAATGAGATTAAATAAAGAGATCATGACAGCTAAACCACCGATTTACGTACACCTTGGAAATTACCATACTATCAAATTTTATTTCACAAAAACATGCCATGGTCATGACAACACATCACATCATGAATATATAATGGGGATACAATAGTTTTTTGTCAAAGAAAATTTGATAATCTGGACATAGTTTAAGGATGTTACAAAGTATTATTATGATTGTCAATTTTTCTTTTGTAGTCAGAGCCTCAAGTATATTACAAGGGAAGACAACATGCAATTTCTATGTTGTTTTTATTATTATTATCTACTTTAAGTGTAATTCACAATACTATATTTCATAGACTCCATCCATTACATGCATCAGTGCACCAAAAGCCTGACACATTTTCAGTATACATAACTGTCTTAATTTTTTATTGGTTTTAAATAACTAAATCACATACGGATTTAAAACATCCTTATGTTTCTAAAAGGTCACTGTTTAGTTTCCTGGTCTAATTTTCTATACCGTTGCCATTTTTCAGCCTGCCAGGCTGTTGACACACACGCGTTAGGTGCATGCATAAACAAATTTTGGATTAAATTTGTTTACAAACATTTTAATTGTTGACAGTAATGTGAAGGAGTTTTTACAGTTGTAATCAAGAATTTACTTAAGCTGTCTGAAGCCGTGCATATCATACACTACAAGATTACTCTCTACCATACTTGACATTGCTTGATTAGGCAATATGGGTCTTCAAATGTCGGAAAATCCCCTGATTCACCAAAGATCCTATCAAACACTGTTAAATCTGACAAATAACAATGTAGCATCAAGAATGGATTATATGTCAGGTTAGTACAACATATCAAAAGGAGATTGAGACTGCCTCCAACAGTAGCAGGTATAAAAATGGTATACATTTTATCCTCATCAATATACCACTAAAGCTAGCTAACACACTACCCTGGCAAAGACCAATATGAGTTTCATATTTGTACAGAAAACATAAGCTTGACCTCCAACAACAACATAAATACGACCAATAATGCAGCTTTGGACATAAAGCATTAATACACGTTTGGGGCACCTTATTAACAAGCAGTGCACCCTGAACATGCATTACAGCTATGATTTGGTCTGAATTTTTATCATACACAACATGAAACAGTCTATTTTCAAAATTGTATAGCAGACCGCATATATCCTAGTTTAACCGTCGGTTGTGGGGGCTACAGTTCCTGCACCCTCTCGGTCACCAGCTTTTTTAGTTCCTGACACGATATCATCGATCCTTAGTAACAACATAGCAGTCTACAAAAAAAAAATGCACACATATTATTTTCCTTTTTATTGAAAGATATAGTTTAAAATTAATATTTTCATTACAATGCATTTCAACGGTATTGGTTACAGGCATAATTAAAGATTAATTAAAAAACCTTTCCTAAATCTAATAATGTATTTATATAGTCGCAGCATTCATTGCTCTACAATTAATATATATATATATACTGTATAATAAATAAGTTAGAGATATAAATTTTTTCACCTGGTAATTTTTTTATCAAGGATTTTAAAAAAAATGTATATAAATTCATAGTTGAATGCACTATCATTTGAAATGTCATGATATTTGACATTATTCTGATAATTATGCAGGCATTCATTTTCCAAGCACAGTTCATGACCAGGTCACAGCAACCCTAAAGTACAGAGTTATCTAGAATCATTTGACTTGTCCTTTCTCATTGATGATGCATTTTAGTGAAATGCTGATTAGGAATCGCACACACCTACAGTATGTAATAATAGATACAGTAGTTGTGTGTGAGTATGGTTTAAACCAGGGGTGAACATAAAAATCGGTCGGAAGGCCAAAGTGATTTTTTCATTTAACACTAAGGGCTGCATCCAAATTTTGATGGTTCCAGTGTGCTTCCAAAATCCTGCACCTCCGTTATACCACTTTTTCAGTTTTAATATTACTATTTACAGATGATTGGTGTTGGGTGGGCCATAAAAAACAAAGTGCACACATAGAGTTTTTAATTCGTTTTCGTGGGCCACAAAGAAATCACTGTCGCATGTGGCCCGCATTTTGCCCAGCTGTGGTTAAAGCTATTTAGGGCATCTCTGAAAAATAGTTTTAGTTCAGGGATCTCAGAGAATCAATCAACTGGGATAAAACAATTTAGGGACCTGGGCAAAATAATTTAGGGACCTGGATATAATAATTAGAAGACCTTGGAAAACATGGTGATAGTAATTATATTATAATAATAAGTGATGATAATAATTATGATGTAAAATTGATAATAATAATAAGTTTTTAATTGCTTTTCAAATGTAAATTTTACACAAGTTGGAATATTGCAACTTTCAAAATTGACAGTAAATAATAAATATAATTATAATTAATTAACAACAGATACTGTAGCAATACTAATGATAATAATACTGATGATGATGATGATAATATTAATTAAGAATAATATTACTAACCGATTGAGGTACTACAAAAGTGTCTTAATCTAATGAAAAGAAAATTAGAGCCATTGACTATGAAAGGTAACTTCCTAAGTCTGATAATAACTTCCAAGCCATTAAGTTAATAGTAATAATAAGGTGATCATAATAATAGTGATAATAAATAATGATGTGTATATTACATGTGAATGTGTGAATCCATTAATCAATACATATCCAGTATACTAGAATCCTTTACATGCCAGGCTGTACAAAACATATGCTATGGTCAACTTTAATGTAGCGGATGGTGGTTAATCATCCATATCTAAATTAGGTTTGTTTCCAATTATTCAAATCCCCTCTTAAAAGAAAAAAAAAACCATGATAACCACAACACTTCCAAACAAATGAAAACCTATTCGGGAAAAAATCTCCATAATTTCTCATCAGGAATAATATATTACTTGCGACACGCATTACTGTGACCTATGCTAGGGCAGCAGTTCACCATGCTTAAGTGTGCAAGTTAGACTGCAACAGCATAAACATGCTAACAGCAAATTCATTATGGATGCTTGTTTCTTGTTACATTGCTAACAGCTGTTCTAAGTGTAACTATGGAATAGCTGCTAGGGAGAGGTGACCTGTTTATGTATTGCACTTAGGTAACATATCTTTTCTCTGACACCTCATGTATAACTGGTATGCCCATGGAAATGAATTTTCTAATACATTTAATACCAAATCATTTACTGTACAGTATGTAGTAAGCAAAAAAAAAAAGATTACAATAACAATAATATATTATTATTGATGTCTTGTAACATTCATATTACAGTACTTAACAATTTTTATGACAGGGATAATTATTCAATATTTGTGATATACATAATTGTTTGTAGTAATTCATCTAAAGGTTAATCAAGTCTCATAGTAATTTATCAATTTGCAATAACATTCTTTGTAGCATTCTGCTAAATTATGAGAGAAAATTCTATATATATATATCATTATAAATAATATGTATTATAAAAATAAATAAATATTTTTTATTAGATCATGAAATTCATCTTTTTTAAACACACCACACTTTCATAATTCCATGACAAATATGACTTCATTCTTCCCACACACATCACGTACATTATTATCCTTTCACACACACTACATACTGTACACATCACCCTTCCCACACTGTCACATACACTTCACTCTTCCCACACACATCACATCACATATATAACTGTATTATACTTTTCCAAACACTACATACACATTAGTCGTCACCCTTCCTACACATATAAATACACATTACCCTTCACGCCCACATCACAAAGACATTATCCTTTCTCACACAACCACATACAGTACATATTACCATTCCCACACACATCACACATCTCTATCACAACCTTTAAACTCATTACCTTCTTTCTTTGTAGACAAATCCAATTTACACCAATTCTGGGGACATTCTGTGGGGTTCCCCAAATACATGTCATGTCTATGTATTTTGGTGAGAAGGATTTAGAGTAGCTTATGGATTTTAGAGTAAATTATGATGGAAACAACATACAGTATTGTACGTTTCATGATTCTGATATTTACATTTTGTAGCAGATGATGCATAAGAATCCCCAGCAATGGCATCTGCAGAGGGAGAGTAATCACTGAGAATGAATCGGTTTATACACATCCTTCCTCATTCACATTACACTTTATCAAATACATTTCAAAACCTTCCCAATACACTGACCAGGGTAAAGAGGAAATAAATAAAAAATAATAAATAAAACTACTAATGCTTATAAAGGTGCATCATGGGATTGTAATCCGAGCTTATCGAGGAGCATCATAGGATTGCAAAAACCTCAGTGGTTTCGATTTCTCAACACAATTACATTTAACGTTGATGCATCAACCGGATTTATTCTATGTAAACATACCTTCAATGACATCATTGCAAATTCTTTGTTGCAAACATATAAAATAGACATTCCAACAGCTAAAATTAGCTTATCTCATCACTAGTTTTTTTTCATGCTGTTTACATGATGCTTAAATGGACTGTAACATTGATTGAAAAGCATGAACAACAGTAAACCGATTGTGTGCCTCTGAACATAAAAATTATCACAAAATACCTTAAGCACCAAACGTTATACTGTATATATAGCCTAACAGTGGTTTCCAGAGCAAGAAAAAAGGGGGGGAAAAAAATTTATGCTTTCTAAAACAGCTTCCTGGAAAATGTGCAATGTTTCCGACTTCTGGTAGCAAACTTTACTAGCATGTCATCATGACCATGATAGTCATCATGTGCCTACATATGGTCATCATGTGATGTCATCATCACCATGTATAGTCATCATGTGCCTACATATGGTCATGATGTGATGTCATCATGACCATGTATAGTCATCATGTGCCTACATATGGTCATGATGTGATGTCATCATGACCATTTATAGTCATCATGTGCCTACATATGGTTATCATGTGATGTCATCATGACCATGTATAGTCATCATGTGCCTACATATGGTCATCATGTGATGTCATCATCACCATGTATAGTCATCATGTGCCTACATATGGTCATCATGTGATGTCATGACCATTTATAGTCATCATGTGCCTACATATGGTCATCATGTGATGTCATCATGACCATGTATAGTCATCATGTGCCTACATATGGTCATCATGTGATGTCATCATGACCATGTATAGTCATCATGTGCCTACATATGGTCATGATGTGATGTCATCATGACCATTTATAGTCATCATGTGCCTACATATGGTCATCATGTGATGTCATCATGACCATGTATAGTCATCATGTGCCTACATATGATCATCATGTGATATCATCATCACCATGTATAGTCATCATGTGTCCACATATGGTCATGATGTGATGTCATCATCACCATGTATAGTCATCATGTGCCTACATATGGTCATGATGTGATGTCCTCATCACCATGTATAGTCATCATGTGCCTACATATGGTCATCATGTGATGTCATCATGACCATGTATAGTCATCATGTGCCTACATATGGTCATCATGATATTTACGCATATGAAATGTTTTTCATGAAATTTTTTTAAGGTACGGACATGGCTATAATCCTATCCTAGATGCTAGCTGTACATTCTAAGTACTGGCACCAACTAGACTGCCTATGAACTGTGCAAAATTTGATACATCACAGACACTTACAACAAGTATGGAAGTAGGACATTGTGTTATTGGTGTCAGCATGGTTCGGAAAAACAAATGTTAAAGCCAAAGTCAATTAAATTGATTAGCCAATAAGCTAACATATCCAGGTTACTAAATGATTCAAAACTTCAATTTGTCTACTATAGGTCATAGGCCTAGGGTAAGCACCAGTTGTTTTGTGATGTCATAACCTAGTCCAGTATTCATATCATTCTTATTTTGTGTTAGGCCCTATAAAAAATATTATTAGTTTATCACCCTATCTGGGCAGGAAAAGTGATGAGGGAGGGAGGAAGGCTTTTTTTAAAATTTTTTATTTTGCTAAAGCCAAATATAACCCTTGGTTTGTTTGCTGGTGCATTGATATTCAAAGTAAAACATGATTTAGATAATGCAAACAATATATACTAACTATTTAATAAAATAATTGAAAAAAATAAATAAATTAATTAAAAAAAAAAAATAAAATAAATTTTTTTTTTTTTTTCAATTTTTTTTTTTTTTTCAGTACCATAAAAGGCATGCACGCGAGGGTGATAAACTAATAATTTTTTTTATTGGGCCTTATGACTGGAAATTGAAAAGAAAAACATTGTTACTTTACTC